CCCCAAAAGACCTCTTTACCATCTGTATGAAGGATGTAGTTCTGTGCATCATTACTCATTACAAGTCCAAGTGGTCACATGAGGATGTATGAATGTCACAGTCACAAATAAAGGACACTAGTGATGACAATCTCAGTGGAGACCTGAAAGTCTATTTGCCAGCCCATTCCTATCCATTGTGTGCCTTATTTCTTCATGTCAGGCCTCCCTCTGCAGTGCCAGAGGATTTCTAAGTCTAGATCAAGCCTACAGAATTCCCACCCCAATGCTACAGTGGGAAATGGCTGTGTAATCTTGCTTGTCTGCTGTCCTTGCTTTATAGATTTTGGACGACTGTTGAAGACTTTGCCCTATGGTTCTCCAGCCGTGTGCCCTGTTGTCCATTAAAACTGTTTACATAAATAAAAAGATGGATGTTTTGGAGCCTGTACATATGACAAGAGGCTGTATTTTTATTCCCCTCGCTCCTCACTGCGCTGCCTCCAGCACATCACCTTTCTCCTCCAGAGTGTAATCTGGCTGACATATAGTCAAGCAGAGCCTCTCTTCTTACAAGTTATTAAAAAAGAGTCAGAAACTGAAATTTCCCTTGCTCCTCTTTCTCCTTCCCTCTCTGATATCATTAGTATTCCCTTCTCATTCACTGTTGATAGGAGTCAGAGGAGATACCACATCTCGTCTTTGGCTTCACTGTGAATGTGGCATGGGGCAGAAGGACAGGAGCAGAAGAAGGGTAATCTGGTGTTCTTGAAGGAATCTTGTTTTTTCCAAGAAGAAAAATAAAAAGCATCATCTTAACTGAGTGCTTTGTTTGAATACTTTATCAGCATGGAAGCATGAGGAAGGGCTGCCTCAGACCTCAAGGTCCACAGTCAGTAGCTTCTGCTCTTCTCATTTCAAGTGGACAGCTCTGCATCAAAGAGCAGAGCTGTTAAAAGGCTACACTCACTCAACCACACAGTATAAAACAACGATTTACAAACAGAACTTATTTTGAGATTGTGATTTAGCTTCCAATTGATTCAAACAATTCCACCCTTTGAAGTTTATTTTCATTAGCTGACATCTGCAGATCCTTAGAACAAAATGTAACAGGATGTAGGTTTTTGAAACATTTTAATAGGAATTCTGGATTTTGCCTTCTGTATATAAGGCGAGTGGGCAAATACTTATCTATATAAACTCATGTAATTTCATTTGCTTCAGGAAAGATATGCTAATCTACATCAGATGACAATTTATTTTATGTAACTGGAAGCAAAGGCAAGATGATTTTAGTTTTGGAATGTAGTTGGGGGAAAAAAAAGGCATTGGTAGAATAATTGTGAGGAAGAATCTGGATTCCAAGGGTCCAGACATACAGTTAAATCCAAAGTAGTCACCATGCGGTTGTATTTTGGTCACACCTTTGAAAGTTCCAAAAAGTTGACAATATCCTAAATTCCAAGCAGAGAGAAACCAGGGAAGAAGACAACAGACAGCATTTTACTGCTGTACAGACTGGATTAGGATAGGATGATAAGACTTTGGCAGTATAGTGTGCATTCATGATTTATTGCTTGATAAAAGTTTTGTTGAGATATTGTTGGAAATACTATGAATGTTATTCTTGTCATAAAAGAACAAAGAAACCCACCTTGTCTGTGCTCTTATCCAGCAATTCCCTGATAGTTCTGAAGGAATTATATTAAGCTGTTCAAAAGCACAGTATTGATTAGGATGCTCATTGTAATCAACGGGTTCATTACTGAAGGCAAGGTACTCATAGGAAACTTAGCTACTCAGTATAGCATGTGCTAGTTGAGATTTCATTTTCTTGATGCTTTTTTTTTTTTTTAAAACTTTACTCTTCAGATGATTCCTCCTTTATCTTGTCTTTGTGCATTTATCTGGTACTAATTTCTTGCTCACTCCGTTCTGGCCCTGAGAAGGTGGCAGTCTGCTGTTGGGCTGTCTTCTCAAAGCTGTGATTGTGAAGCTCTTGCTAGGAAGGTCCTTCATCTCTTACTTGCCACTGAAATGTTCTAGGCACTGGCTATTAATTTGAAGGTGACCAATATCACAACCTCTGGCTGAGGTAGACATCTATTAATCTGTATCTAAATACATTATTTCAGTGGCTAAGCACAAGAAGTATTTTTACCATCTGAGTGAGAGGCTGCAGTCAAATGCTGCTCTTGCTGCAGCCAGAACATATTAACAGGGGAGTGAGTAGTCCTGCTCCTCCATGCTTGTTACTGCTCTCCTAGAGATGGTTGAGAGGCCGAGCTCAGCTATTCATTCTGCTACAGAGTCTGAGGATTTAGGCTGCCTTTTAGGCTTCGTAATGTACGGCTTGAAACACTACTATCTCCTTTTGGATACAGCACTGAGTCTTATTCTACCGTTATTAGGGGTGTTGCCCACTTAATGTTCTTATTTGGCACACCATTTATACTGGAAATTATGGGGAAGCTGGATTCACTCTGTGTTATTTATTCCTTTTATTGCCCTCTGCCTTTATAGCCACAGACGTTTATGGTTTACCTTTGCTTTAATTTAAAATAAAGAAATTAATGGAAACTGTCTTAGGGGTCTGACTTCTTTTGGTATGTGCTCTTAGTTGCAGTTTTGCTTTCCCTGGCATAAGGGTATTATGCTGTGTGTCCTTGCCACAGTCCCAAGGCATTAACAGCTCTCAGCCTACGTGTGCAATGCTTCCCAACATTCAAATCATGTCTGTAAAGTACAAGCAGACTGAACTGTGTTTGCAACCTTTACTTCAGCATCCCCATATCTTTTCCCAACTGTGGATAAGCTTATAAAGCTTTTGAATAGTGTTTATTTAAAATGCAGAGCCTGCATCTGCATATTAGATACATCTGCATATCAGATGCAAGTTCTCCATAAACAATTAGGAGTCAAAGCCATCAATATGTTGTCTAACAGACAATTTTCTCCTAATCTAGAATAACATTTTCTGTTGGAGATAAGACGTGATTCTTCCAAACATAAACTACCACTTGCCATTCCAAGTGTTTCGGAGGAAGATTCTAAAGTTGGAAAAAATCATACTCCATATTTTCAGAGAAAGAGATCAGAGAGATTATAAAGGAGCCCATGAAATAAATATCACCAGAAGATTCAGAAAAGAACTATTAAACTACATTGTAGCAATCATGTAGAAAATAATAAATTGATGAAAATCAGCCAACATGGGATTGTCAAGAAAACTCCATATGACACAAACCGAATTTTCTTATTTGACTCATAACTGACCTCATGGATAGTGATGAAGCAATGGATGTGCTATATGTCTACATCAGCAACAATCATTACATACTTAGCATGAGGTTCTCACCAGGAAGCTATGGAAATACTGTGTAGGCAGCTCGTGAGTGGGTAAGCAATTGCCTCTGAAGTCATTCTCAAAAAGTAAGTACCAGTTGTACACTTGTCAAACCAGGAGGACATTTCAGGCAGGTTCCTGAAGGGTTCTGATCTCAGCCACAATGAACAAATTTGGTAAGGTCATAAAATAAGCAAATGACTACAACAAACAAAGAGATGGTTACAAGCATTTTGAAGAACAGAACAGGAATTAAAGATAATCTTGAAAAATCAGTAAGGTAAAATTCAGCAAATACAGGTGCAAATTACTACCCAGCAGCAGAGCTCAAATACTCAAATAAAAAAAAAAAGAAAATGGATAACTAGGAAGCAATATGTTTTGAAAGGTTATAAAGATTACATAGCGTTACAGACTTGAGTAGTTGCCGGTACAGTGGGGAAGGTGAAAAAGCAGGCAATCCTCAATGTGGGGTGTATTAACAGAGAATTTTACATAGCCTGCAGAAGATTCATAGCAGGCTTGCTATGTCCTTGCCTGGGACAGGAAGAGAAACAGGCTAACAAAATGGACAGTCCAGAAGAGAACAGAAGGCCCACAACAGTTTTAGAAAGCATAGAAATTCACTTAATTTAGCCCAGAAAAAAGAAAAAATGAGTAAGTCAAAGTGGTCTTTGGCAGACAGATACTGGCTTACGTTGATTGTACTCTGAGAAGAAAGCAAAGAAACAAAGAAAAATAAAGAAGACTGAGCATGTTAGAGACCCCCCTCACCCTACACTTGGTGCTAAGGGGATGAAACCTGGAACAAGGTAGCTAGGGTGGCTGTGAAGTCCACCTGCCTGGAAGTTCTCTGAGAGAAGGTAGATAAACTCCTGCCAGAGACGGCTGTGTTGCATGTAATGCTTCTGCAGTGCAGGAGTGCTGACAGGGTAACCAATGTGAGGTTCCTTCTGTCCCACTGTTTCCAAGAAAATATCCAGTGGGTTTCAATTTCTCACTACAAGTTGATTTACATGTAAGCTCTTCCATCTTCTTCCATCAGCTTCTAAGAAAGAACTTTTGTACTCTGCATTTTGGCTATTTCATATTTATTTATTTATTTATTTACTTATTTTAATGTTTAGGTGGTGGTTTTACCTCATTTGTGAGAGGAAAAAAAAAAGAGAACTAATGAAGCCTGGTTTACAACGGATTCATGCTCACTATCTCTGTCATCGTCTCCTGCAATAAATCCAGCATATCTCCCAGCCCCCATGTGTTCTTTGCATCATATATTAAAGCCTCATGGCACTGTGCCCACCATCAACAGTACCTCCAGCTCCTCCTTGTCTTTTTGAGCTCTCCCCCACCAGCCCTGTTAGGTGTTCCCTGTCTATTGAGCGGGGAGGCTGTCCATGTGTTCCAGCTGTTTTTTGGGGGGTATATTTATGCTGTTGGCCAATATGAGCAGCCAGAAGAAAGAACAAAAAGGCCGTGTAACTGTTGAAGTCACTCTGCAGCACAAATCCTAACGTGCATTGCTTTCTTTGATCCACATGTGAGTTTCACAAGATTTGTAGAAGCTTATAGAAACTTTGAGGCCTTTGTAATGCTGTCAGACTTAGCTGAAATTAACTAATGAGATCAGAAGCTATTGGCAGACAGAAGGGACTCATCAGACAGACAAAAATATGATTGCAAGAACATTATTTCTTTAGGTAATCAAGCTAAAAGTAAGAGTACTTTTATTTTAAAATCACTTTCTTTTTCGTCTGTTTTTAAATACCATTAGCAATGATTTTGATAAACATTCTGTTTCTGTTTTGTGAGAGAAATAAAATACATCATTCTCAGAATTTTAGCACTTACTCTTAGTGAGTATACTCTTTGTATCACCTAATTAGTTTAGGACAAATATTAATAAATACTTTAGGACAAATAATAATAAATATTTAATAAATTAAATACATTTCACAGCTACAACAGTCTTTCCTTCATTCCAATTGATTTTAAGAGTGCAGTAATCCTGATGCTTCTAGTATTGCAAATAGTTCAGATAAACCAAGATCTTTTTGTATAGACAGTATTTGGAGAAAGTAGGTTACACTTACTCTAGCTGTTAAAAAATTGTAACATTTTGCACCGCTAGTTTTTCTACACTGTAATTAGACCCCAGATTTAGCTCAGGCCACATCTAAATGCAGACTTCTAGCCTGATAGGTAATACAATGAATCACAGGTACTTTGCATGCAGCAATTGTGATAGTTGTAAAAACTCAGAAGTACGCAGGACAGTGGCCAGATGCCTCGATTCCTTGCTGGTGGATGGCTTGAAGCAGCAGCTCTGGAAGAACTGAGGCAGAAACAAAGAAAACATTATTCAGTCACAGCAATTGTGTGTCTCAGGGACTCCCAAGTCCATTTTCACATTTTACTGGTCACAGCTGAACAGGTTCCTGACATGGTCAACTGACTATAAATGACACACCAGCATCATCACTGCATTTCAGTATTAACAAAAAAATACAATGATCAAAGGTTCCTACGTTTCTTCCAATCCTTAGTAAACTCCGGTAAATAAAATGCCTGGTAGATTTCCTTAATGTAAGAGGGTACTATCTTTCCATGTTCCCAGTGCCCTGGATCTGAGCACTGAATGGTGGGCTTTGTGTCCCACAGCACAGTTTTTACAAAGCCATAAGGAGATGCACATCTGCAATGGCTTAAAATCTGTTTGTACCTTACTTTGGTCCTGGCTGTACACAACAGCTGATAGAGAGCAGATCTGAACTGATTGCAGGAGGGAGCCTGAGACGATAAAGAAAGGCTCACTGAACCCTCTGCGATGCAGCTGTATGAGACTGAGCAATAAACCTGGCACCCTTAATAAGAACGTCCTCTAGTTAACCTCTCCTCCTCCCTCTCTGACTCGGTAGTACAGAGAGCACAAGCACAGAGGAAACAGGTAACAGGAAGAAGAGCCTTTTACCTCTTCAGATAGATTGCCCAGAGAAGCTGTGGCTGCCCCATCCCTGTCAGTGATCAAGGCCAGGTTGGACAGGGCCTTGAGCAACCTTGGTCTAGTGGAAGGTGTCCTTACCCATGACAGGGGGTTTGGAACTAGATGGTCTTTAAGATCCCTTCCAACTCAAACCATTCTATGATATGATTTTCTGAGGTCAAAAAATAGAAGGAGCTTCCTATGCAGGTACATTAAAGGATTTTTGATTGTCCTAGCAATGTGTGAATGTGGCCATTTAGCAGGCTGAGTGCAGTTTAGATGGATATTAATAGTAAGGCTACATTAGGGGAAGCGAATTATCATCAGGGAACTGACCTTTCCTTTAGAGCACCCTGTGACAGTCAGTAAAGAGAATCAGCACAGGCACACCGTTAAAAAAAAATGCTTGTTTGTTTATGTTTCCATTGATATCTCCCCATGTAACTGATCCCATGTTAGTTTAGCTCAGTCCTGACAGCTGCTCCTGTCAAAAGCCCTGGTTCTCGCTTATCCACAGCAAATAATGCATCTTTAGGTATTTGTTCAGTGCGGACTTGGAAACACAGACTCCCTGTGCTGTGCTAAACCATAAATATCAGCTTCTGAGTTGCTAAGTATATGTGCTTTCTAAATAATCTCACAGGCTAGTCACTTGAGAGAAAGTTCAGAACAAGTAAATTATTCTTAAGCAGTGAATATGCTCATCATCTGCATGTAACAAGAAAAAAAGACGCATTTATAACTTTCTCTCTTATCCACATGTGATACTATAATTATTAAAGGTCACCCTATGTAAAGATAAAGTGCATTCACATCACTAGGATTTATGGATTGCAAATGTGATTTATAGTTAGCTGTATTAGGATGACCATTCCTTTAAGTATAGTTTCAAATAATTCTAAAATAAGAGTATGCTTTAAGGAGCACATCTTGTCAGTGGTTTAAAATTAGATCATATATTTTGCATGACTGAAATCTGCTCCTTATAGGATGTGCATGCACATGTGTGTGTGGGAGAAAGAAAAAAAAGAGGATCCTCTTTTAACAACTCTTTTCATCTGCACTTTTGAATTTCAAAATTGAGTTTTATATTAAGCCAGAATTGAATTAATTGTAATTAGAAGATTTTGCTGCGGGCCTCCTCCTCTAAAAATTCAGCCTTGTCTACCTGCCTCTTGCCACAAACCCCTCACCAACAGTAAGATATCAAGCAGGTGAATACTTCTGCCAATGATGATGCACAAAGTTAAACATCTGTTTAGATGCTCTGCAAACTAGATCCATATTACTGATCATGATGGCACTATGACTCACAGCTTATCTGGAAAATCCCAACAACCTCTTGAATGCATCTGTGCTTTTCCAAGGGTGGTTTCAGCAGAGCAAGTGGCAAACCTAGGTGATCAACCAGTGCTGTTTTAACTCCACGCAGGTGCTCTGCAGGTCAGCATTGAAAGCCACTGGATTAAGGGCTTGCTTAGTTTTGAAGACAGCAGTAGGAATTACCATCTTGGAGTTAAAAAAGGAGGAAAGGGAAAAAGGAGGAAAGGTTTTGGTTACAGAAATACAATCAGCCAGCCACTGTGGTTGAAGGGAGGGGGACGTGACTCAGTTCCCATTATGGTGGGATGTACGCTGTGTATAGGCCATTCTTGGTTATGTGTGAGGTGACGCGGGACAGACCATGCAAGAAGCCTGGGGATCGTGGCAGCACCTGCACACGATGGGGGCATCTGGGTCATGGGCCGGGAAAAGACAAAGCTCCCCGTTCCCACCCGAGCGCCACACCCTCTGCCAAACGCCTTCCTCCTCTCTCCCGGTGCACCCCGATCGACCCACGCCTCCCGAGGGAAACCGAAGCTCAGACTTACACCAACCCTCCCACCCACCTCAGCACTGTCTGAAGCGAGCGCGCCTCCCTCATAGGGGAGGACAAACACCACCCCACACTGCGAGGCTCTGGCTGCACCCGCGCTACCCCGGAGCGCCGGGCTCCTCCTGTGCCCCACGGCAGGGGAATTCTTACAGCCCCAGGGGTCACCGCACGGCCCTTACCGCCCCCGGCGTGGAGGCGCAGCGGCGCGACCCTCGCCCGGCCAGCAGGTGTCGCTGCCACACTCCCCGGGCAAGCCCCTCGCAGAGCCCCGGCCCCGGCAGAGCCGGCGCTGTGGCACCCGCTCCGGGCAGGCTCCTCGTATGCGGGTCTCGGCCGGGGGGAAAGCGGAGCGGCTGCCGCTGCGGAGGAAGGCTACCCCCCACCCCGCCCTGCCCCGCGCTGAGCCGGCGGCAGGTGAAGAGAGGTGCCCCGACGTCTCTCCGCGGCGGCAGTACCGCCCCCACCTCAGCGCCACACGGCGCCATCCTCCTGCCCGTGAATGGCTGCCGGCTGACTGACAGCCGAGGCGGCCACACAGGGCGGCAGCTGCCCGGCGTACACCTATAAGGGCAGGCGGGGAAGAGGAGCCCAGCTGCCCGCGGCGGAGCTGCAGGGTGAGCAGTCTCACCTAGGTGGGAGTCCTTGCTCGGGGAGCCGAGCGCTGGCGGAGGCGGGCATTCGCCCGCAGGCTCCCCGGCAGCAGCCCCGCCCGCTGATCCCGCAGCAAGTAGCAGTCCCGGTCACCCCTCTTCGGCAGCAGCTCTTGAAGGATGCGGAGTGGTGGAGCGCGGGCGGCGGCGGGGCGCCGCGGGGGGACCCTGCGCTGCGCCGGGCGCGGGCGCCGCCGCCCCTGCGCGCTGCGCTGGGCAGCAGCTCAGTGAGCGCGGTGGCCGCGGCAGGAGGAGGCGCAGACGGGCTCGCTGCGGCCGCTGCCGTCGCTGGAGGGGCTGGGAGCCGCTCCGCGCCGGCGGCGGGGCTGCGCGGCGACCCGCGCTGGGGAAGGCGCGGGCGGCGCTGCCACAGGTGACTCGCGGGCCCGGGGCCGATCTTCGCCCCGCTGCCGCTCGGCTGCCCTTGCGCGTTCGTGCCCCCTGCGCCGCGGCCGCCTGCGCGAAGCCCGTCTTCAGCCACTTCGCCGCGCCTGCAGGAGCGCCGGGGGACATGGCTTTGCTTCGGCTCCTTCTCCTCTTGCTCCTCGCCCAGCGGGGGCTCGGGGCCGCCGCCGGCGAAGGGCAGGCGGTGCGCAGCCAGGATTGGGCGCTTAGAGGGGGACAGCCTCTTTACAACCACATCAAGAGCCGGGAGCCTCCGCCGGCCCCGCGGAGCCGCTCTACGGCGAGCACCATCTTGGCGCAGCGGCTCGCTGAGGAGGTACCCCAGGACGTGGCCTCGTTCCTCTACACGGGTGACTCCCGGGAGCTGGGGCGTGCCAACTGCTCCGGGCGGTATGAGCTGGCCAGCCTGGCCGGCAAGTCGCGCTTCACCTCGCACCCGTCCCTGCACGGGGCCCTGGACACCCTCACCCACGCCACCAACTTTCTCAACACGATCCTCCAGAGCAATAAGTCGCGGGAGCAGAACTTGCAGGAGGACCTGGAGTGGTACCGCGCCTTGATCAGGAGCCTCCTGGAGGGGGACCCCAACATCTCCAGGGCAGCTATCACTTTCAGCACGGAGCCTTTCTCCTCCACACCCCAGGTTTTCCTTCAGGCCAGCAGGCACGAGAGCCAAGTCCTCTTGCAGGACTTATCCTCCTCGGCTCACCGCCTGGCCAACGCCTCTGTGGAAACGGAGTGGTTCCACAGCCTGAAGCGCAAGTGGAGGCCACATCTGCATAGGAAGGTCTTGAACACGGGGCCCAGAACTTTAGAGAACAGCTGGAAGAGATGGGAGAGCTTCACTGCCGATAAGAACCACATCAGGTGGTCCTCGCCTTACCTGGAGTGTGAGAATGGGAATTACAAACCCGGCTGGCTGGTGACTCTCTCAGCGGCTTTCTATGGGCTTCGGCCGAACCTCCTTCCTGAGTTCAGGTAGGAGGAATCTTCATCTGTTTGCTTTTTACCGAGAAGGGGGTAGAATGGGGTTTTGGCTATGCTCTCTTCCTAGGGAAGGGCATGCTGTGTCTCTGGAGTGACCTGACCAATGCTTGCCAGACTGGCTGCTCAGTCACACCGCAGAGCAACCTCAGGCCTTCCAGTTGAGCACTACCTTAGTGTGCCTTAGAGAGCAGTTGTTCACTAGAAGAATCACTTTTCTCTCCGTCTGTAAGACAGTGTTTGCTTTACATGCACTGGAACAGGTGTACATGTGGGCTGTGCTCCTGGTGTGCTTCAGGTGGGGAGAGGAGAAAAGCAGTTGCCAGTTACAGTTATTTCTGACTGCAAGAGGGAGATGTTTACCGAGGTGTCAATTTCTTGCTACACTGTGTAATTAAGCATAGTTTGACCCCAGCTGTGATTTTTAACTAGCTGGGAATCAACGTTGTTATGCTGGTAAACTGGTTTCTGGCCTCCAGAGCATATCCACTGTGGGGTGCTCAAGCCTGGTCAGTGGTCAATATGTTTGTAGGTGAATAAGTATTTGTGACTGCAGTTCTGTCATAGTGCATGTGGCTACAGCCTGAACTGGCAGTTGGAAAGCTTGCTTTAGGGACGCCCCTGGTTTACATAGCTGTGGAGCAGATACTTGGCATATGTAAAGAATTGCTTACTTTTTTATTCCTGTTACCCCAGGACTTTACCTCAGGGCTGTGACTAGCAGAGAGGGGGGTATGAAAAGGACCATTCTTGGGCCTTTCTAGCAAAGGGGTATTTGTCCAAAGAATGAGAACAACCTGTGCTGTATGAGATGCCAAATTTTCCTACTAGCACTTCTGTGGTGGTGCTCATGAATGACCTTATCCATTGTGGAATACCCACTGCCCAGAAGCAGCTGACATTTGTCAGGGGTGAGAAGAGCACAGAACTTGTGTTATGCTGCAAATCAGTAGTAGGTAAAAGTAGCCAAGAATGCAGCAGATGCTGAAGAGATTTTGCCATACCTAGGTGGTGAGCCAGTAATGTTTGTGAACACTGGTTGTCTTGGCTTACTCTGAAATCTGGTGGTATCCAACAGGTATGAATGTTTCTTTTGGAAAAAAAAACGACCCCCAAACATCTCTTGGCTAAAGAGTGGCTGCTTATTTCTCTATGGAATCACCTTTTGCTCTGAAACTCTCACACTTACAGGGCTGGCAGGGTTAAGGTACAATGAGCTCATCTGCAGGCTGCTTGTTGCCGAATTCCTCTCTAGGCCAAAACTCAAGAATAGCTCTGTAGCAGGGATCTTCTGGACCTTGCAGGTGGTCCAGAAAAGTTCATGGCACTTCTCATAGATCATAGAAATGTAGTGTTCTATTCTATAGCTTCATGATGCAGATGAAAACTAGGGTAGGCTGATATTCTCTTGTTGGGGACAGAGGTTCACATAACTTGAAGAACTACCAGGCTGGGGTAGGGTGGCAGCTACTAACCAGCTGTCTGAGAATTTAGATCTTGATATCAATTTAAATCGAAGAAACTTCTGTCTTGACTTCAGTGAAGAGAAAAAAAACAAACCCATATCTTTTAAGCAGAAGAGTCTAAAGGGTCGATCTCAGCTCTGTGCCAAGATCCTGTGTTGCCAGGAAGCATCGCAGTGGTGTTGGTTTTTGCTGCGGTAGCTCTGGTGTGAGAATGCACTAGGTCCATTTTGGAGTAGCTCTAGCCAACCAAGGCAACCAGTAGAGGTCCTCCTGGGCGCAGTACAAAGCACTGCCTTCACTTCCTCATCTTCTCAGCCTCTGTTTACTGTTTGAGAGTCATTTCAGTTGAAAAAATAGAATAACCTGTTGTAACTGTGATACTTCAAAGGGCATCCATTAAGCACACGTAAGCTTGGAGAACCTCTTCTAATTTAGGAGATCTTGTGATGGGGCATACTGCTACAAGGTCAAAGTGTGTTGTTGTAGGGCAGCAATAGTTAGGACAAAACTAACAAAGTTTTGTTGCATCAGAACCAGAGATGACCTGGTAAGCATTTCTAAGAAAATGGGTCAGTGTGCTTTTGGTAACTGTATAAGGAAGCTGGTGGAAGAAGTACATATATATACACACGTATGCATGTATTCTGGCATGGCTAAATGATAGTTCCTCTGTTCCTGGTTTGAGGTATGTGGTCTTCTAATAAAAGCTTATTGCAAATACATAGGAAATCCTATAAACAAAGTACTCACAAGACTTGTGGGATGTTTGAGTATTTGCACAATATTTCCTATACATGGTAGACACACAGCTTCAGCATGAGTTCTTAAGAGAAAAAATGGTTTAAAGCATAAGCATGTAACACAAAAATGCAAAATCTAATGGAGCTATTGGAACGTTAGCATTACTACTATAAGATGCCTCTAGAAATAAGCTTTATTTCCCCTCACTGTGACACAGTGGTTTAACTTTAAAGTCCTGTTTAAGGCTCATATGGTAAAAAGCGGAATGTATTAACCTCCATCTTTTGAGAAAGCTACATTGGTTCTCCCAGCAAAGTATCTCTGAACCATCTGTTAGGAGCATGTTAATGGATCAGTTTACATGCTCTTTACATCTAATAGTATGGCATGGAGATCATTGGTGGTAACTTAGTGCATGTGCCTTGAATTTTCTTCTGACAGTTTATGTACCTTCTTCTTTGCTAACATTAGGTTTATGACATGGTACATTAGGTTAAGAGACCTTTAGGAACACATTATCTCAGTGGAAAATAATTCTTTCAGGAAAAACTTGCTTCTGCTTCTTGGCACCTCTTCTGTTTCATTGGTATGTCATGTGGTATAGCAATGGAAAGAGTTAATGAAGGCAATACTGATGATTTCTGCTGGTGTGTTCAATACATGCTACTCCTATAGTGCCATTGTCAATGACATTCTGAAAGGGCAGGGGGAAAAAAAAGCTTTGTTTTTCATGTTGTGAAGGGTTATACTGCTTATGTCACAGCTGGGGGGTTTCCTTGCAAACAGCTTGCTATCCGTCTTAAATTTCACCTCCCACCCTCTCCCACTTTCCTTTTCAAGAGATGAGAGCCAAACAGTCCAAAGTGAAGGCCAAGAAAGGTAAGAGAATATGCTTGCTTTGCCAGGGCTAGCACTGTAGGCTAATACTGAGATGAAGTGGAGAAACTAAAGACAAGTTGATTGTGCTGACAAACATAACAGAAGCTGTCCAAGTGAAAGGGACCACATGAGCCCAGTTCGATGCTAAGCCAGCATGTTGACTGTCCACAGCTGCTTAGCAGTGCTTGCTAATGTTTTGGTGTTTGTATTCATGGGACTTTGAATCACTCAAAGTGCAGGCAGAGAACATCACCACCTGCTTGCAAAATACAGTTCAGGCTTTCATTTGGAAATGAGGATCCACAGAGACTAGGAGTCATCACTTGATGTTAACCATTCCTATCTGCTTTCTTAAAAAGTCTAAGCTTGATGCAGTTTGCAGCTGGAATTCACTATCTAGTATGCCTAATCACTCTACAACTCTACTGCTGTAGAGGGTAAAGCACCATAAGTTTGTCACTGATCTTTGGAGACCCTCCTCTCCTACTTCCCATTACGAGACTGAACTATATTTCATGGCCCAGGATGATTTAGGGGGTCTCTTTGCAGTCCTATTGTGGAAGCAGAAGGGTGTGAGAAGCTGCATGTTGTGAGCACATTTCCTTCTCTAAAAGTACTTGCTTGTCCCCTGGAGAGGAAGTGAGGCCTTCATTGCTAGAAGGCCAGTGGGGAGGATCACTTGGTTTGGAAGAAAGATGTGCAAGTAGTCAGCTAATAGGAACATGCAAGTTTTCTTAAAAAAGATCCTCCTGCGTGGATGAGTCAATCTCCTGCTGTCACAAACCCTCTTAGTGTCATCATCTGACCCATATCCATCTTAAAGTAGGTGGGTTTCCCTCTTGACTCTCTAGTCCACTGCTGGGCCTAATGGTTGCATAGCTGCTTCTGATTTCAGATCTAAAGTTAGTCTTCATCCATTTATTTCTATTCCAGAGCTGCCTTCTGCCTGAAATAGCACTCTGCACTGATGTTTGTTGCCCTGACCTATTTATAGGCAATAGTCCCTTTTCCATCTTTGTTTACTAGACTATACAAACCAGCTTTCTTTAGTCTCCCATTACAAGTTCTCTGTTGCCATGGTCCCTCTTCTCAAGTCTTGTTCCAGCATTTCTTGAATGTGGTTAGTCAGGTTTGTGTGCAGTGTTTCAGCCTTGTGCAGTGACATCAATTATCCCAAAACTCTGATGAATGAATTGCTGCTTTTGTAGTTCAAAGTGTTCTCTTGTGTGCTGTTCTCATTTTCCTTAATGTTGTGTTGTAATATGTCAACATTTTGGGAACTGGTCATTGTTCTTGTGCTGTTTTTCATCTAGGAGGTCAGAATACCTTTAGGATTTTTTAGGGACTTTTTTTTTCCCCTTCCACCATGTTCCATCAAGGGCAGGTAGTTTTTTTCACCAAATCCAAGGCAATATTTGCAATATCTTTAAAGGATTTTTGTGAGAACACAATGGAATAATGGCTGTTTTGGCAGAAAGGTGTGCTATAAACAAGGTAAGGTTTTTAAAAATTATTTTCATTTTGAACTATGATGTGTTCTGGAGCATTTGCTGATAACTTCATTCTGAAGCACGGCTGAACCAAGTGTTACCTCTTAATATTTTTTGTCTTCCTGACATTTGCTGCTTCTCTCAATTATTAGAGAAATGTTTTGGAGTGCAAAGTTTAATCTTCATTGCACAGTTAAATTTAGCTGTTTCTTCCCTAAAGGCAGTCTAATGTGGTGATTTCCACTGAACCATTAACAATGACTCTGACCACTCCAGCATTAGGCCATAATGGGGCTCTTAGTTGTGAATGGGGCTCTTAGTTAAGGAAACATTATTGAAGGCAAATTAAACTGTGGAGGTAGAAGTATATGTGACAAGTAATTTCTTAGGGAATACACATTATTTCATCTTCTGCTAA